CTCTCTTGCCAGAATACAGTAGAAAGAGGCCAACTGGCCCTGAGCTCCCAAGCCTAGGAAAGTTGCTCTTGTTCAGTGTCAGGGGATGAAGGAAGAGCTGGACTTACTCTTTGCTCTGGGGATCATAGTGTGGGGGGAAAAGCCCACAGAATACATATACTCACTGATCACTGTAAGGAAAAAATGGGTAGAACCCTCCACTTATAAATAAATCTAAAAGAATGAAATCAATATGTTTAATGGGATAATGTCTTCCATGTCTGTCAGGAGAGAGATTCTGGAGGAGATATTTAATGCCCAGAATTTTTCCACGCTTGATGAAATAGCCAAATTGCAACAGATGCCCTTGGACAATCAGAGCACAGGTTTGTGGCTATTCATCCCCTTCGTAGCTCTCACTGTTTCCTCTGACTGAGTTTTGGGTTATGTTAAGCACAAGATGTTTCATTGAAGATTACAATAATTTTTTTATGGTATATAGTAGGGGTGTGCAAAGTGGGCCATATTCGATTTGGATTTGGCCCAAATCGGGGACAGTGATTCAATTCGTTGATTTGGATCACTGTCCTGATTCAATTCGGCCAAACCCGAATCTGAAGACTCAATGCCGATTTCAAGAATCAGTGATTTGGCCCTAGTTACAGCTTTAAATGTTTTTTCTGCATACCTCAAGGTACCAGGCACAGCTTGTGAACACTGCAATGGTGGGGTGGATTGAATGGCCCACAGAAGCATCCCCCTGCATGCCTGGCAGTGAACCTGGAAGTGGACTGGAAGTGCTTTTGGTCCACTTCCAAGTCCACCGCTGAGTGCGCAGAGCCCCCCCTCCCCACCGCTCCCCCCCCACACACATCCCCCCAGCTCGGCGATCAGCTGCGGGGGGACCCCAGGTGTTTCTCAGTGGACGTGAAAGTGGATTGGAAGTGCTTCTGATCCACTTCTGGGTCTGCTGCCAAGCACACTGGTGACCACCCCATGCTCCTGTGGGATGCTCCATCCGCCCCAGCATCACAGCATTCACGAGCCACCTGGTACATTGAGGTATATAGAAAAAACATTTAAAACTATGTCTATGTCTGAATCATCAATCTTTCAAAATGAATTTGGAGGGTTTCAAGTTGATTTTGAGAGATTAAATGTTATCCTGATTCAATTTGGAATCAGAGATTTGGCCACCAAATCAGGCTGAACCTCCTCCAAACCAAATCAGCGACCAAAGTTTTGCACAGCCCTTGTATATGGGTTACACTCAATAAATCTCCATACAGGATATTTAGATGTGGAATAGATAGTAGAAAAACTTGGCCAGAGGATGCACGTAGTGTTGGGAAGATCTGGTACTGCTGAGCTAAAGCTGAACACATAAAAATATGACTTCCTTGCTGTAGAAATGATGTTTATGAGAGCCAGGTTCAGAAAATTCAGTGTACCAGTTGATGGTAGTAAAGCTGAAGGCAGCACAGACATATCTGCCCAGGCAGACAAGAAGTAGTCAAAAGATTCCTTGGAATGGTAAACTAATTTGTGCTTAATCCAGCTGCTGTAACCAGTGGGGTGCGAATCCTACTGCATAAAATTATGCAAATGATTTGGGATACAAGCATTAAATAAAAGTTTGAGAAGCTGAAGGAATGAAAGAGGCCCCAGTCCTGTGGTGATATGACAAGAGCAAAACTCAGATGTTCATGGATGTTTCAAAAAAGGGCATTGGTGTAACCCTTTTATGACAGTGTGATCAAAATGGAGAGCATAGACGCTAACAAAAGACACTAACAAAATTGAACTATAAATAGACTAAAATATGGAAGGAGGTATTGGCCCTGGTTTAGGTGCAAAAATGTCATGACTATTTAAGGGAGGCCAGTCCTAAGAGAAGCTGGTAATAAATAATTTATAACTGCTGCCAAATGCAAACAGTGCTCTGAGAATACATAGATTGTTGTGTGAGTTCAAAATCAAATGCAAATTTGGGAGAGATGTAATGCTTGCAGACCCACTTTTATAGCATTTGACAAAATTTCAGTGTTAGAATGTTCCAATTACATACCTGCCAGTAAGGTAAAGTACCTGCCTAATTACAAAGCAACTGTGGAATTTGTTTGCCAGAACTGCTGTTGATAATAATTCTATGCATAAAGAAATGAAGGCTTTAGGCACAGGTGACTGTGACAGATTATTCCCATATTTGTAGTTTTAGCAGATGCTTTTAGTACTTGATAAGATTATGTTTAAAGTTATGAGGATGGTAATTCTTAATGTATTATGGAAAATAGGTTAAAAAACTTGTGTGAAAATAACTTTGGGAGTGAAAAATTGAAGCAGCAGGTTAGAGAGATTTCATACTATCTTAAAATTATTAGTCCCAGTAAAGAAACTTGGAAGGCTGGTTCTCTGTGCCAAATTAAAGACCAAGTTGCCCTGGGCTTCTGGGAGCTGTCCAGGGTACTGACCAAGGCAGGCAGCCCAGTGAGCCACATTAAGGTGCCTTAAGGCTCTAACCCCCTTCCTGTGGTCCTGCCTTTCCACCATCAAAAGACAGTGGGCCAGACCCGAGCCTGCAGGGCCCTGCTCTGCGGCCAGGTGCTGCCAAGAAGATGGCACTGTGGGTGCTGTTCTGCAAGGTGCAGATGCTGGAGCTGGAGTGGCAGTTCCAGCAGCAGCTGTCCCTGTTGGTGTGCAGTAAGTTAACAGAGGGAGCAGAAGGTATGAGGGGTCCTGTCAAAGCACAAAAGAAAGCCCCCCTCCCCACCCAGGAGGGGAAGGGGGCAGCACAGCATGGGCATGGCCTTTGCTAGCAATTCCCCCACACTCCCCCCTCAGAGCATGTTTGCTGGCTGTGCAATGCAGCCAAGCAGGATGAGACATGTTGCTGCTGCCCAGGATTCAGGCATCCTTAGAAGCCCATGCTGGGGCTCCCAGCCAGGACAGCAAGTGAGCTGGAACTGCATCTGCCCCAGTTCCTGGCACAGCCTTCCCTGCTTCACTCACCTCCGTCCCGGGCAAATGCCTGGCCTCCATGTCGGACACTGTGGGTGGGAGAGGCAGCATCCTGGGCACTGGGGGCAGACGCAGTTCCAGCCTACCTGTTGTCTTGGATGGGAGCCCCATTGTGGGTTTCTAAGGGTGCAGGCAGTGAGGTGTCCTGCCCCTGCAGGTCCACATTGCCCAGCCAGCAAACCCACCCCCAGGGAGAGGCACAGGGCATGCATTAAAAAGGCCCTACCTGCACTGCACTGCCACCTTTCCCTGCAGGAAGTCATGGGGGCCCTTTCCCTTGTGTTTTGACAGGACCCCTCACACCTGCTGCCCCCTTTGCTGACTTACCACACACCAACAGGGACCGCTGCTGTTGGAACCACCACTCCAGCTCCAGTGTCTGCTCCTTGCAGAACAGCACCCACTGCTTCTGCTTTTTGGTGGCACCTGGTGGTAGCATGAGGCCCCAAAGCTTGGCTCCAGTCCACTCAGTCACATAGCATTAAAGGCACCTTAAGGCATCTACATGGGGGTTAAGATGCCTTAACTAATAGCACCTAAATTTGATACCTGCTTTATGCAGGTATCAAATTTAGGTACAATTAGCCTAAAATCTTCATTTTTACAGGTGCATTAAGGGTGCACACATGTAGACCTGTGGCCTTAATACCCCTTAAAAATGGCTAATGCATCTTAAAATCATCCTGTGTAGATGTCCCCAGTGTGACCAAAGGTTCTAGAAGTTCCCACCCATTTATGAAAGTGACGCTGTGTATATCTATACTAAGAAAAAATACCTGCTAGCAAAAGTGGAGTAATGAGACTTAACTTGGAATCATCTGAGATTGTTATACCCAAAAGACACATATTTCAAGGGAATAAGTTATACTTTCCATAACCCAGAAGAGTGGAAGACAAGGGACACTGAGTTGACCATTTTGCTCAGGAAGGTCTCAGGCAGGCAACAGCCCTGGCAGGTTGAGAAGGGTTACATAATACACAGAACAATAAGATCTACTGGTTCATACTGCCAGAAAATCATGGTGCAAACTCATGCTTTGGGGCACCTCACTTCAGAGGACCCCTCAGGGTGCCAGTAGATGAGCATGGAGACTGCTCTGACACACTGTAATTACAGCACTGGAGTAGACTTGATTAACCAAGTCTGCTGGACCATGATAATTACTGCACTCCAGCAGCCTCCCACATCTCATGTTTCAGCATCACCATGCTTCAAAGTGGCAGTGGAGGCACTTGAACTAAAAGCTCATTAAATGAGCTTTAGTTCAAACATCCCCACTACCACTTGAAGTGTGGGGATGCTAATACACAAGATGCTGTTGCACTTTAATTAGAATGGCTCTCAGGACTGCTCTAATTAAAGTACCACCTGCCCCACCCCTGGGAGACACGTAAAAAAGTACCCTCAGAAACTAATTTGAGACTCCTAGTTAGTTTGATGTACGGAATCGTTATAAGTACTTGAAATTCTGTATTGCATTAGTGTTGATTTTTAACTATTATAGTTATGTTTGTCTGGGAAAGGAAGATGGGGTATGAGCCATTTGGAACCTGTCCATGCCTCATATAATACAAATGTTCACCAATTAGCTAGGGTGCACATGCAAAATGAAACAGGCTTCTGTTGGTCTCTAAGTCAATGAACAATGTAACTATCACCTCCCTGCCTATGTGAGCAAACAGGGCCATGAAGCAAAGCTTTTCCATTACCTTAAATCATGAAGGAAGGATTTCTTAGTTTATAATTAAACAATGCTTATCTAGAGCTCTGGATGCTCCGTAGCACCGCTGTCCCCTAATTGGAATATAGCATCTGTTCATGGGGGAACACCTCACCGATACTAGAAAGATACAGACAAATCTACCAATATGTCACTGACTGATAATTAACAAAAAAAAATCCTAACACATTCATGATTCATAATACTAGCATTAGTGAGATCATATTCTAGGAAGATATTTGAGTTGGTCAAAAAAAAAAAATCAGATGAACGATAACAAACCCGAAATCCTGCTTGGTTTTTCTTTCTGTTTGTTCCTCTCTTTTGGAGTACGAAATGTAACGTCCACATAGGTCACTCTCTGCTCGTTCATTTCTCCTGGGCTAGGGAAGAGAAATTCCACAGTTGGGTTTGGCAGTAAATGAACGTTACTCTCAAGTTATTTTTTTAACTGCAGGAGTTATGATTTTAACTGCATTGACCAGAGCAGAACATTACCATTTATCTTGCAACAACACAAGCTACTGTGAACACATCACACCTGCCTGCCACACTGTGCTGTCTCTCCAACTTAAATCTCACTTCCAGTTCCAAGAAAACTAAAAGATCTTCCTAAGATCCATGTGGCTGACAACATTCCCCCTCAGGCACAACAGAACTTTCTGCTCCAAGGGCAAGGTCTGTCCCTGTAGCCAATAAAGCTCTCTCAATGGCTCTTTCTAGGACTGTGGGACAAACTTCCACAGGAGGTTAGTCATATCACTTTATGCACATCTGGAATGTTCGAGTATCGCTGAGCTGAGGGCAGGAAAAGAACCCCACAAAAAACAGAGCAGCTCAATTTTGAGCAACCTAAAAAATCCATGAAAAGACCATATTTGCATTTAAACTGGCAGGTTAGATCTTTATCCAAGGTAAAAAATATTGTGCATAATAGTTGGGTGGTTTTAAGAAATAAGGCAAAAGGCAGGGTGGCACCTGAGAGACTGACTCATTCAGAAAGTCATAAACTTTGATCGGCTGCAGCCTACTTGGTCAAATGCCATAATGGATTAGCTAAACAAACATTCCTGTAGCTCAATTTATTTATAAAGATCCTGCCTTAAACAGGTGCCAAACTAGATGACTTTATAGAAAAACAACAGAGAAAAGCTTCTTTTACCAGCTGTCTACTGTGACTGTCGGCATCTCCAAATGCAAACAGCAAAATGCTTCAAGAGTTGGCCTGTTGCCTAATTAGTCTAACTGCATTTTTAAAAGGACTTTGGCCTTTTATAGTTGTTATTCATGTTTAATTTCTGATTAATTTTTTTTTTTTATTTTGTAACTGTGTGCGCTGACCCAGGAGTTTCCAGATAAAAGCCAGGGAAAAGAAGAACTGTTCAGTCTTGAATATCATTCACATTGACATTGATCTAACACTGATAGTTATAAAAAATCACTACTATGTTTTAAAATGCACTGCCCTTGTTTCACAATCACAGTTAACTAACTTTTTTTGTAATTAGGGTGTCAATCTAACCTACTGAATAGTAATGTTTCTCTCTTTGCTGTTCTAATTAATATTTTAAATGTTTTATCATTTTTGACAATATTTGACAATTGCTTGACTGGTCAATTAGCGGAATATTTTTGACCAGTCAAATACATAACCCTAGTAGTGGGTACCTTAAAGTTTCATATTAGACCCCATCTTGGTTAATATATTTCCCAAGGACCTGGAAAGGGGAGCACACAGTGGGGTGGTAAAATCCTCAGATATCACAAAGTTATTCGAATTAATCAAGACCAGAGAGGACACCAAAGATACCTCACAAGGTAGGTAAACGTGCAACAGCATTGAAAATAAAAAGCAGGGCCAACTAATGCAAAATACTGCACACTGGAGGGGAAAATTTAAACTACTTTTGTACTTTATAGGGTTCAAATGAACTCAAAGAAGGCTCTTAGCAATGGAAAGCTCAGTGAGCTAAGCTATGGTCTGTAGACACACACACATACACATGCATATACTAATGACTCTTCCATTACATAGCCATTGCTGTTCATCTCCTGACCATAAAGCTATAGAATCTATAGCAAATTGTCTTCTGTAACAAGCAAAGCCCCTGAAGAAGCACTAGCATTACCTTTGTTTGTGTCCATAGATCCAAAAACAAGGGCTGAAATCCTGGGTAGGAAGTTTAAATCCTTTACCGGCTTTGCCTCTGAGCAGAGAGAGAGAGAGAGGGGTGGGGGTGGGCAGTGCAAGTTCAGCACTTAAATTTCTTGTTCACTAGAGACAAACACCAACCAGGAGACAGAAAATTATATGTTCAGAAATTCACTGACAAACTGCACAGGAAGACCTCAAGTTGCTGATCTGAAAGGTAATGCTTTTGTCTACATGCACAATGCATCTGATATTGAAGCTACCTGCCATTACAGATACTTTGAATCTACTAAGTCAATGCCAGAAACAAAAAACCCATCAAAACTGAAGTCCAATCATTTTCTGAACCATGGTCTCCCTCATCCTCCTCACTCCAATTATTGGTGGGACCTCTTGTTCTTCCATGTACAAAGCAAGCCCCTGGATGAGCCACCCACAGCTCCATCACATGACCCACCTGGGCCCTGGGGCCCCACTCACCCCAACCCCTGCCCCACTCCCTCCCTCACTGTGGCAGCCTTGATCTGTTGTCCTCCCTCACTTCCCGCTCCCCTGACTTCTTCCCCTCCACAGACTTACCTGCTGGGCGCGGCTGTACACACCACCGGGTTGCATTCCTGGCCATATGCATGTTGTGGCTGCTCATGTGTGTTTCTGTGTTCCTGTGCCTGTGTCTGTGCCTGTGTGTGTGCCCTGCTCACCTTGACTTCCTACTGCAGCACCCCCGAGCCTATTCTGGGGCTGCCCTGCAGTCCTCTGCACTACCACTGCTGCCCCACTGGATGGCGTGGAGATGGCAGTGACAGCAGCAGAGTAGAGCCTGGGCACAGGCTCCAAAATCACATGGTGATTAATATGTTAAAAAATTAACATAAAAACCAATTAACACTTTAATCATGCATGTTAATGGAAATTGACAGCCTTAATAGTTAATAGATACGTATTGTTACAATCCCAGAGGTGATAACATTGCTGAGTTGGACTCCATGCTCTGACCCTAAAACATATAATGCAGGTGGAGACTGCTGTACCAGCACACACATACAGCCAACTCTGCTGATGTTTATGTACAGTTGTCTACCCATGGCTGGTTTGTTACAGAACCAGTGTATCTACTGGTTCCCAGAGCTGATCATAGATAAAATGTATTTATGCTTTACAATCCCTTCCAACACTTCTAATTGCTTATTCTTTTTGTTGTTGTTTTACTAGGTCAGCTTTCAAAAATTTGGCTTGACTTGTCTAACTCCTTGTCTTCCTGGTATTCATTGTGCTCTGTAGTATGGGTGGAATTCTGTTTCCATTTTTGTATCTCAATAGGAATTTTATAGCTGCATAGATAATGCTTTTGCTATTACAATGGACAATTGTATTTTCCCTGCAATGTAGACATGTAAGTGTGCACACATAGATTGACCACATGCAGAAGCCTAGTCAGTCCAATATGTATCTATGTACGGGTGCCCATTGTGGAGAGGTACCTGTGTTTAAGTCATGAGAATGGTGATCATGAAAATTGTAGGTTGTTACAAACCCAAACCCATGACTATCAGGTGTTTAATATTACAGAGGAGAGGGTCAGCCCTATCATGTGTTATCCCCAGTAGCAGGGTGGTTAGGTGGTTAGGATGCTTCACCCAGTAAGCAAAAGATCCAAGTTTTCAGTCCTTTTCGTGCAGAGAAGGTAAAAACTTGTATTCTGTTAACTTCAGAGTTCAGTTTGCTAGCCACCACCTGGCAGTTAGATATTACCCAGTTCCTCTTATCAGTGACAGTATGCCTCATTATACTTTGTTAAACTACACACCATCTTCTACTGACAGGGATGAATGCTTCTCTGCATTTCTCCTGTTATGCCCTTACACTTTCTTTATCCAATTTTCTTTACCCTCTGTACCTTGCTAGAATGATGAAAACCTTCAAAGTACTGCTGATCAATCAGAAAAGACTAAATTTAATGATGAATGGTATTTTAGGCATTTTCTCTGAAAGTTAGCTAATTTATGAATCTTGGCAGAACTGAGTTTTGCACACAATCATTAAAGAAAAGGTTTGAATGCTGTTTTCTGATTTTCTATATTGTGACTTGCTTGTCTGCTCCTAGGAACTCTCTCTTCCTAGTTTTTCATATAACTCTTGTATTTTCATTGACTGTCCTTGAACAAGAAGGAAGTTTGGGGAAGAAACTATTGGGCTTGAAGCAACTTTTTAGTTTGTTTCTTTTGTAGCCCGGGTGGTATGCAGCTGGTACCCCTCTTTAAACTGAAAGGATGTTCGTGGGTGTAAGTGTGCTGTGGGAGTGTGATGGCTTAGCTTTAGGCCAGCTCACCTCCTTCCCCTACAGAGCAGAGGAGAGATCAAGGACACCGTTTAACTATTTACTATTTACAGATTTTTAATTTTATAGTACAGTGTCAATAAATGTATAAAGCATCTCTATACATCCATACCATTTACAAATGTAAGTTTACAAAAACAATAAGTCTTATATTAAACGTTAACCCAGGCAATCTCAGCTGGGGTATGGCAGATGAAGGAACTATATCAGCATAAGCCTTGATCTTTGGTCTTCCAGTTAATGTACAGCCCCTACTCTTAGCAGGGCCCTCCAGGCAGCTGGCAAGGGAACACTCAACAGTACAACACAGGTTAGATAATAGGTCAACAGATAAAACCTGGCAGGTATAGGACAATAGACTAAAAATACATAAGTGATATTACATTAATAAGGTTCAATACATAAAGATAACCAATAAAGTTAAAGCAAGTGTTGAGTAGGGGATGCACTAGCAGGCCCACTAGCAGGCTAAATAAAGCAGCTCATAATTATCTCATAATACAATGTTACATACACAGGTTTACAGCAAGGGTCCCAACAATATAAGGAAAAAGGACAACAACAAAAGTACAGAAAGTATGTCCAAAAGAAGGAATGATACCAGGGGAAAAGAGTAGGTTACCATAAGAAATGCTGTTTCCCTACTCTAGGCCACATGGCTAGCATGAACCAGTAACCACAAAGCCACCCCCTGACGAACGGGGGCCCTTAACTCCCTCTGCCTCAAAAGGGTTCGTTACCCCTCTGGTTGTTGGACTTCCCTTTGATCACCAAAAGGGGAGGACCCTTCCTCATCTGTGGAAATCCTTGCCTCTTCCCCTCCTCAGGACAGCAATTCCCCTTTTCAGGTAACTCACGGCTCCCAGAAGTTCTGGTGGATTTGGCTCGTCTCTCTCTGTGGGTTGATGGCAGGCGTTCCTCCCCTAACTGGGATGTTCACTTCATCCTGCTGTCGATTTCTGCAGGAAGGCCTGACCTGTCTTGTGCAGCTACCGGGCCGGTCAGCCCTCTCAGGTCCCATGCAGCACTCTGTGCCCCAGTGGGGCTCTTCCCTCATGCAAGGGTGGGGACCTGCACTGCCTCATGCAGCTATGGGATCCCTTCAGCTCTGCCCAGGCCCCATGCACTGCTTTGTGCACTGAAGGGGATTCTGCCTTGTGCAGCCACGCCATCTCGTCAGCTCTACCAGCTCCATGTACCACTCTGTGCATTGAAGGGGCTCCTGCCTCATGCAGGGATGGGGACCTGCACTGCCTCATACAGCTGCAGAGTCCCCTCAGCTCTCCACAGAGATGCAGGTTTTCTAGAACATTTTGAATTGGAAAATTTTCTGGAAAAATTTCCAATGCCCTATATAGAGTGTAATCTGATTTGGCATGTTCATTTGACTTATATTTAGTAAACAAAACTAAAAAAGTACCCCCATGTTAATTTTATGTCCCAATAGCCACAAATATTTGAACTGAAATATGAGATTAGGAAAAAATAAGTACAGCACACTTAATGTGGTTTAAATGTTATATTCAAACAAATTCAAAGCTTTATGTGGAAAGAAATTATTTTTATTGGAATGCTTGTAAAAATTCCAAGACAATACACAATAGTATGTACTTCCCTTACATTGTTTGTTTAAATTTAAGAAAGAAAACAAAGGCACTGAAAACTGTTGGCACACTATTTTTAGCACACCCAAAGAACTGTGCACGATATGCTGTGCTTTGGTTTTGATTTGACCTGCACAGCCAATTAGGTGAATTCATAACTTGATTATTGGTTTGGATTATTATGTGAGTGTATTTACCCTTCTGTTTACAAATCAGTAAAACATATACAGGTTTCCCTTGCCTACCTCTGGGGTTAGGTTCCTGAAAGTTCCTGTGGTTGGCAAAACCATGGTTAGTAAGATAAAAGGCTTATAGGAAAAATGTAAGGTGAAAGGCTGGTGCGCAGCTGTAGAAAACTGTAGTAACTCAAAACTGTATATCGTGGTGGCCAAAATGGTATACAGCATATTAAGTGTGGATATTCAAAACCATGGTTCGCGAAACTGTGGTTGGCGAGGGAAACCTGTATGTACTCTCTCTCACACACTTCCTAGGGCTAATCACCTCAAAAACATTTGTTACAATTTTGAAACTTCCAAGTTTGCCTAATATTTTATTGGCATCCGTTCATTGTTAATAATGAATTCCAGGAAACAACAAATTTTTAGAAATGGAAAATTTTCCATGGAAAAATAAAGCACTGGAAAGTTTTCCAGAAAAAATTCCATTTCTGCCCCACATCTCTGGCTCTCCAGACCCTCCATGCACCAACCTGTACACCAACACCATGGTTTTCTCCATGGTGGGGCTGGGAGCAGCCGCTTGCTACTTCCTGCTCAGCCGAGTCTTGGGGCCACTTCTGGGGCAACTGCTCCACCTCACTCGTCAGCTCTCCCAGCTCTTCTGGCACCCTTCTTTGTTTTTCCTCATCAAAGCCTCCCATGTGTTGGGCATGTGGGTTTTTATCCCTTCCGGAGGCTCTGCCCCCCAATTGACAATGGACCAATGGAAAAGCCTGAGGGGTTAGTTCCCCCTCAAGTCCTCTTTTTCACTGCCCCTGGGTCAGAGTGGGACAAGCCTTCCTCCTACCTCCTCCTGATTGGTGGGGAACAGAAATGCCCCTACCAATCGGCCTGAGCCATCTGGCTCAAGCCATCATGCCAGCCTGCCATACTCTCAATGCAAGAATACAGTTTTTGTTGCAGCTTTCTTTTTGGAGTGCTTTAGTTTGTTTTGGTGTGGGGTTTCTATGGCTTTTTCTTAATATATATTTATTATTCCTTCAAGGCAACCAAAATATACTCCCTCTCCCACAAATTCCTTCTTAAGATGCACTAAAAGTTGCAAGCACCTGGTATGAATATTACATTCCAAAAATGGTACTATCAAACCAGTCCCAAACAAGCAAACATCAAACTCAAGAACCTAGGAAATGAGAAGCTCTGCAAGGGGATCCCTTAACATTTGCATTTGTGTTGACTCTTGGATGTTCTCTTCTGCTCCATGACTTAGAGCACTACACTGATCTCATCTCTTTGCCCACTTTTTCTTCCTGCTCTCTCAAGGTTCCTTCCCTGGGCCCCATGGACACTGTCATTGCTGCTTGGAACAGGGCTCCTTTTCTACATATATCATTAGTTCTACTGCAAAAGTGGAGGATGGAAGGGGAGAAGGCATTTTAAAAAAGAGTGGTTGGAAAAGAGAATGGAAATCCCTACTCACCCTCAGACTCTGGCAAGAGACATATGACCCAATGGATACTGGTGCTT